GGTGTCTGATCCACCGAGTTTAAGGGGGGGCAGCCCGGGGCCCAATGTGGATCCACTGCCCGGGGGGGAGGGGACTCTCTGGTGGGGGCTTCCCTGGCTCACCCCCCTTCCACTCCTGTGCAGCCCCACAGGACCCCTGGGGGGCTCGCTGCCCCCTCAGTGAGGCCGGGGCGAGAGGGCCCCGCTCTGGGGGGGCCTCTCCCTTCTGTGCGCTCCCCCGGCGTCGCACCCAGCCTGGGCGAAACAAACCCCATTTGTGAGGACACAGCTCCCCCAACCCCCGGCTGTGTCAATGGGTGACAGCCACACAGCTCCCCCAACCCCCGGCTGTGTCAATGGGTGACAGCCACACAGCTCCCCCAACCCCCGGCTGTGTCAATGGGTGACAGCCACACAGCTCCCCCAACCCCCGGCTGTGTCAATGGGTGACAGCCACACAGCTCCCCCAACCCCCGGCTGTGTCAATGGGTGACAGCCACACAGCTCCCCCAACCCCCGGCTGTGTCAATGGGTGACAGCCACACAGCTCCCCCAACCCCCGGCTGTGTCAATGGGTGACAGCCACACAGCTCCCCCAACCCCCGGCTGTGTCAATGGGTGACAGCCACACAGCTCCCCCAACCCCCGGCTGTGTCAATGGGTGACAGCCACACAGCTCCCCCAACCCCCGGCTGTGTCAATGGGTGACAGCCACACAGCTCCCCCAACCCCCGGCTGTGTCAATGGGTGACAGCCACACAGCTCCCCCAACCCCCGGCTGTGTCAATGGGTGACAGCCACACAGCTCCCCCAACCCCCGGCTGTGTCAATGGGTGACAGCCACACAGCTCCCCCAACCCCCGGCTGTGTCAATGGGTGACAGCCACACAGCTCCCCCAACCCCCGGCTGTGTCAATGGGTGACAGCCACACAGCTCCCCCAACCCCCGGCTGTGTCAATGGGTGACAGCCACACAGCTCCCCCAACCCCCGGCTGTGTCAATGGGTGACAGCCACACAGCTCCCCCAACCCCCGGCTGTGTCAATGGGTGACAGCCACACAGCTCCCCCAACCCCCGGCTGTGTCAATGGGTGACAGCCACACAGCTCCCCCAACCCCCGGCTGTGTCAATGGGTGACAGCCACACAGCTCCCCCAACCCCCGGCTGTGTCAATGGGTGACAGCCACACAGCTCCCCCAACCCCCGGCTGTGTCAATGGGTGACAGCCACACAGCTCCCCCAACCCCCGGCTGTGTCAATGGGTGACAGCCACACAGCTCCCCCAACCCCCGGCTGTGTCAATGGGTGACAGCCACACAGCTCCCCCAACCCCCGGCTGTGTCAATGGGTGACAGCCACACAGCTCCCCCAACCCCCGGCTGTGTCAATGGGTGACAGCCACACAGCTCCCCCAACCCCCGGCTGTGTCAATGGGTGACAGCCACACAGCTCCCCCAACCCCCGGCTGTGTCAATGGGTGACAGCCACACAGCTCCCCCAACCCCCGGCTGTGTCAATGGGTGACAGCCACACAGCTCCCCCAACCCCCGGCTGTGTCAATGGGTGACAGCCACACAGCTCCCCCAACCCCCGGCTGTGTCAATGGGTGACAGCCACACAGCTCCCCCAACCCCCGGCTGTGTCAATGGGTGACAGCCACACAGCTCCCCCAACCCCCGGCTGTGTCAATGGGTGACAGCCACACAGCTCCCCCAACCCCCGGCTGTGTCAATGGGTGACAGCCACACAGCTCCCCCAACCCCCGGCTGTGTCAATGGGTGACAGCCACACAGCTCCCCCTACCCCCAGCTGTGTCAATGGGTGACAGCCAGACAGCTCCCCCTACCCCCGGCTGTGTCAATGGGTGACAGCCAGACCGCCTGGGGGGGGGGTCCCTTACAGACCACTTCCCGTCCCCCCATTATTCAAGCAAAGGGGGGGTGAGAAACTACATTTCCCTTTCTTCTTTTCAGAGCCCCCAATAAAATCCTACTCCCCAGCCCCACACAGGCCCCAGGGACAGGGGCAGGAGTTAAAGCCGGGAGGGAAGTCACTCACGACCCACAAGAGGGGCCTTTGCCCGGCCTCCTACCTCAGCCACGGGGAGACGCCGACACCGGCCCCGCGTCAGTCCTCTTGGGGCACCGCCGGCCGCCTTCTCGCATCCACCCGGCCCTCGTGGGACAGGTGCACCGAGCTCACCGTTCTCAGCTCTCTGGCTCCCCAGAGCCAACGGTGCCCTTGCAAGGCCCTGTCCACCCACCCACCGTCTCCCCAACCTCAGTCAGGAACTTCCTTCCCCATTTCAGCCTCTGGCTCTCGGAGCCCAGCCCCGGCACTCGCCCTCGGCGTGTCTGGCGCTAGACACGCGTCCTGGGCCCTGTTCTAAGGACAGGAAAGTCTCACGGCAAAGGCCAAGGAAGGGGGAACCCAAAACCACTCTGGAATATTTGGGAAGCCCCCCATGACTGTGAAGTCCATCCTCTCAGAGGCTATGTCTAGACTGCATCCCTCTGCCGATAGATGTATCAACAGGTGTGTTGTAAGCAAAACTCGTGAAGTCATTCTGCCTCTCTACTCTGCACTAGTTAGGCCTCAGCTGGAGTACTGTGTCCAGTTCTGGGCGCCACATTTCAAGAAAGATGTGGAGAAATTGGAAAGGGTACAGAGAAGAGCGACAAGAATGATTAAAGGTCTAGAGAACATGACCTATGAAGCCAGGCTTCATGAACTGGGCTTGTTTAGTTTGGAAAAAAGAAGATTAAGAGGGGACATGATAGCGGTTTTCAAATATCTAAAAGGGTGTCACAAGGAAGAAGGAGAAAATTTGTTCCTCTTGGTTACTGAGGACAGGACAAAGAGTAATGGGCTTAAAGTGCAGCAGGAGAGGTTTAGATTGGACATTAGGAAAAAATTCCTAACTGTCAGGGTGGTCAAATATTGGAATAAATTGCCAAGGGAGGTGGTGGAATCTCCCTCTCTGGAGATATTTAAGAACAGGTTAGATAGACATCTGTCAGGGATGGTGTAGACAGAGCTTGGTCCTGCCTTGAGGGCAGAGGGCTGGACTCGATGACCTCTCGAGGTCCCTTCCAGTCCTATTATTCTATGATTCTATGATTAATAAATCCTGTGCTTCATTAGCATAAACATGGCCTCTGCTTTTTTTTTTTTATGGAGTTTTTTCGGGGAAGAAAAAAGGCCGTCTAGACGCGGATGTGTCGAAAATAAACCATTTTTCGAAAGATCCTGTAAACCTCGTTTTTTGAAGAACACAGGATCTTTTGAAAAAGGGTTTATTTTCGACAGATCTGCGTCTAGACGGCCTTTTTTTCCCCCGAAAAAAGTGGCAGCCATGTTTATGCTAATGAAGCGTGGGATATTTAAATCCCTGCTTCATTAGCAATTTCGATGTGCCTAATCTACAT